AGTTAAATAGTTTAATAGGTAGATATTATTTTTTTAATTTAATTTTATTTTTTTCTTATCAGTTACATTTTATTAACTCTGTATCCCAGCTGTGCCCGGCTCCTTCATTTCCTCCCAATCCCACCCTCCCTCCCTCATCTCCACCGTGCCCCTTTCCAAGTCCACTGATAGGGGGGGACCTACTCCCCATTCATCCCATCCTGTTTTATCAGGTATCTTCAGGACTGGCTGCAAAGCCCTCCTCTGTGGCCTAACAGGACTGCTCCTCCCTTGGGGGTTGGGGAGGTCAAAGAGCCAGTCATTGAGTTCCTGTTAGAAATAGTCCTTGTTCCCCTCACTATGGGAAACCAATTGGTTACTGAGCTACCACAGGGTACATCTGAGCAGAGGTTCTAGGTTATATCCGTACATGGTGCTTGGTTGAATGACAGCCTCTGAGAAGACCCTGTGCCCAGATATATTTGGTCCTTGTGGAGCTCCTATCCTTTCCCTGTCATACTAACTCCCCTTCTTTCATATGATTCCCTGTACTCAGCCGAAGGTTCGGTCATGAGTCTTTGTATCTGCTTTGGAAACACTGCTAGTTAGAGTCTTTCAGATGCGCTCAGTAGACTCCTGTCATACGTTCAATGCACACATTGAAAGCAGTGCTCAGAGGAAAATTTATAGCACTAAGTGCCTGTAAGAAGAAATTCGTAACATCACATACAAAGAACTTAATGGCCCAACTGAAAACCCTAGAAAAAAAAGAAGCAGATACACCCAAGAGGTAGATATTATTTAAATTGAGTATCATGATTTTGAAAAAAAAAATTAACAGAATAGGTCTACTGTGAGTGTGAATCATACAAAAAATTAAGGGTTAGTATAGAACACATCAGTATAAAAATTAAAAAGTATAAAGATATGTTGCAGGCAATTTTGGAGAAAACTGGCCAATAAAAGGCCAGAATGTATTTAGCTACAGTAAACAAAAAACTATGTTTGTAACAAATCATGAAGTGCATTGTTTAGTTTTCTTGCATCACTAGAAGAAATCTTGAAAAAGATTGCTGCTGGCTTTGATAAAGTTTCTCAACATGCATACAGAGTGCTGGGCTTTGTTGGTTTCCGTTGTGCTCCATGTAGGACATGGTCTTTATGACATCATAGCCATTGCACTCTTAAAAAGAGCAGTAGCATTAAATACACATATAAAACTTGATCAAAGTAATACTTTGACCATACGAAGGTCACTTTCCCCATTGAGAAGAAATAAATTTAGGAAAGATACTGACTTGGCATCACATGCCCAATTTTCAATGAAAAATAGAAATATCAGTACCAAAAAACAAAACAAAACAAAACAAAACAAAACAAAAAACACTAGTTTTCCTGATCTAAAATAAAACTGCATTCCTTTAAAAAAATGAGGGATCTGAAATCATAACATGATAGAAAATAATGCTTATAGCAGCTTCTTAAATCCAAGAAGCCAAAGGTTGAGAAATGCACAAAAAACAATTGAAAAAAATAGGACTGAATCTTGTAGAGAAATACAGTGAAGCAATAAATGAAAATTAATTGCTCTAGAAGATATACAGAATATAAGTTTTCTCAAGAAACAGCTGTCTATGGCAATTAGGTTGACAGGACTTATTGAATAAATGATGATAGCTACCAGATGAACAACAAGAAAAAAGAGTAATTACAGGAGACACACATTCAGAGATTTTTATCTTAAATGAGTTTATAACAGGTAAGGTGCATAAAAGTTGGAAGGTTTTTGATTAAGGATGTTTGATAACCGTGTGGTATTATTTCAAAGTACCAATCAGAATAGTGTAGTACTGTAGTCAAAACATGGAATATATATCCTGAATTACTTCCTCATTTTTCAGTTTTTGTAAGTTTAGTTTTTAAATGATTTTAATTGAAATATAGTTACATCACTTTCACTTTCACTCCTACTTGCCTTCCCTCCTGACCTTCCCAATTATTCCTTCAAGTCCCTTTCCTGCTTTTCTAACCTGAGAACCTTTTTCCTTTGTTTCTTTTCTTTTTTTTTTCCTATCTATAAGTTAGTTGTTCACTTTACATCCTAATTGTAGCCCCTCCCTCTCCTCCTCCAGGCCCTACCCCTCTATCCCTTCCTCTCCATCCTTTCCTTTTCCCCACACCCTCTTCCTAGCCCCTCAGAAAAGGGGATCCTCAACCCCACCCAAGAACATCCAGTAGCATCAGGATTGGTGAAAATCTCTGCCCAAAAGAAGACCCTTACAGACAGGGAGGACTCTCCTGGATACTTGGGTTGCAAAAGGAATGTTCTCAGCCTGGTGCAAGCATTAGTGACACACTGTCCAGAGTAGGAGAACTGAGACACCAAGTGATATGGCTCCTTAGGAAGCCTGTGCCCAGCAGGGAGACCTGCATTCCTACAAAGATGTAGAAGAAACCTCTAATTCCATTACCTAAAAGTTGAAAAGGTAGAACCCCCATCATCACCTTTCATTTATCCTGTCCCCAAAGGGATGACCTTCAGAATTTAAAGGACCAAAATGTAGAATACTAGGAGAAGGATGCCAGGCCTCCTGGTGAGGAAAAAAAAAAAAAGACAAGTCTTATGCAATTACAGAGAAGGCCTTTCTAGGGCCCCAAGCATCAGGTAAGGGAGCACCTTTGAGACTGGGAGGAGCCTGTTTTTTTTTTATTAATTACACTTTATTCATTTTATATCCCCCCATAAGCCCCTCCCTCCTCCCCTCCTGATCCCACCCTCCCTCCCCTTTCTGCATGCATGCCACTCCCCAAGTCCACTGATAGGGGAGGTTCTCTTCTCTTTTCTGATCTTAGTCTATCAGTTCTCATCAAAAGTGGCTGCATTGTCCTCTACTGTGGCCTGGTAAGGCTTCTCCCCCCTCAGGGGGAGGTGATCAATGAGCAGAGCCTGGTTTTATATTGACAAAAATGTTGATAAATGGAGTACCTCTATAAAATGGAGTAGTCACTCTCCTAAAGTAAAAGTTGAGTTGTCCTCTTCTAAGATAGTAAGAGAAATTGGGGAAAATCCTTAATAAAACTAGGAGCAGATTCCCTCAAACACAGGTCTGACTGTCATCAGTGCTGGGGGCAGGTGGTCACTGTAGTCATGGCTGACTGTAGACTATGGAAGACTAAGATGTAGCATAAGTAATAGAATGTTCATATGTTCTGAAGACATGTGAAGGCTCTGGTCTTGATTCCAGCATTGAATGGACCATGTAGATAGGTGGTGGACTAGGCTTCTGAGTAGGAAAAGGGTAGAGCAGAGACCTGTGGTAGAGAGAGAGACCATCTCTCTCTCTCAGGTCCAGCTACAGCATAAGCAGACTCTTGTAGGGCCCAGAGTCCCTCTAACTGGCTCAGGAAAAGGTCCACCAGAATTAAGTGTGGAAGGCATAATGCAGCCAGTCCCATACTGGGCGTGGAGCCCTCTTAAGGCCTCTGGGGAAGAGCTTAGCAACTGCGGACAAAGGAGTGCAAGCATAGTAGAGGGGTGGAGCCGATCTGCATTAAGGGGACACTTAGAACTGATGCTGAACATAGAGATTAGATAGGAACGCCTAAAGGACCAGGGTATAAATCATGAACCAGAGAGAGGACTTGAAACAATCCTAACCCCCATACCCCAGTCTGAAGTGAGTGGCTCCCAGAAGCCTTTGCCTCCACAAAGGAAACCCTGCTCACCTGACTTGTCACCATGGAGTGAACGGAAATCTTATTCTTGAGAGTTTTGTGTCAGTAACAGTGTTATGTCACCAGTGGTCACCTGGAATAGTTGAAGAGAATAAAGGGAGTAAGATTTCGAAAGAAAAGAAAAAATAAATACTTAATAAAGGTTACATATTGATATATAATTTTAAAACTAATAACATATTTACATTTAAAGCCACTGAATGCTGATGTCTAATAGAACTGTGATAAAAATTTCATGAGATAAATTAAAAAAAAACTCTAGGAAGTGATGGCATGTACCTTTAATCACAGCAGAGGCAGAGGCAGAGGCAGAGGCAGAAGGATCTCTATGAGTTTAAGGACAGCCTGGTCTGCAGAGTGAATTCCATGACAGCCACAGCTATTACACAAATAAATCCAGTCTTGATTTAAAATAAAATCTCAATTTGAGTAGGTAACTGTATAGAAACTGATAAACTGTATAGAAAAAATGAAACATACTCATGTAAGACATGAAATATAAATATACAATAGTGAAATTTGTAGCTTTGTTATAGGCATATCTTGGATAGGATCCAAAAGTACATGGCAGTAAAACCAAAAGTGATAACAGAGTGAGGAGCTAATGCATAGAAAGATATTCACCATTGGGAATGGAGAGATGAGTCAATGGAAAAGACCACCTGCAGATTTTAGAGACCTAGGTTTAGTTCCCAGCACCCACAGGGTTGCTCACAGCCATCTGCACTAACTCCCATCCCAATTAAATGCAGAAAAAAATATTTTTACAAATAAAAAAGAAAATAAATTTACAAATTTATTTACAAAAAATTACAAAAACAAATACCGATGAAATGCATTTAAAAGTAATAGTGAGCCTAAACCTCCATTTCACCAGTGAAATAAATTCATGAAAGAATAATTTGCAAAGTAGTCCAAAAACTGTATGAATAGATTTTGTCAAATGAGGGGGCTGGGCATTGAAAACATCTAGGAAAGAGTTCAGAAAAATATTTAAAAATACTTCAAGGCAAATCTACTACAACAAAATATCTGGTCATAGAATAAAAAGGAGAAACTCCATTTGCTTCCCTCTATCATACTTATGCTTGCATTTTTTTAAGTGTGCAATCCTCATAGCTTTAATATTTTCTATTTACTCTTCTTTTGCAAGGCAACTCAGATGTTTTATCTTTTGAGTTTTAGAATCAGAAAATGAAGGAGTCCCATAATTGGAAAATATTATTTTAGTACCATTGGCTACAATCTTTCATCATTTCCTCACATCAAACAATTTAAAACTGTTCATGCCAATGGATCAACTAAATGACTCAGTGGTTTCTGAGTTTGTGCTTCTAGGACTCTCTAGTTCTTGGGAAACTAAAATTTTTCTCATGGTGACATTCTCTGTGCTCTACTTAGGAATCATTTTGGGAAATCTCTTCATTGTCATTTTAGTAATTGCTGACTCTCACTTACATTCACCTATGTACTTCTTGCTGGCCAACTTGTCTTTGAATGATGTGTGGGTTTCCTCCACGACAGTTCCCAAGATGATCTATGATCTTCTTAAAGAACAAAGAGTAATTTCTTTCCACAGTTGCATGACTCAGATCTGTTTCATCCACATCATGGGAGGAGTGGAAATGGTGTTGCTCATAGCCATGGCATTTGACAGGTACACAGCCATCTGTAAGCCTCTCCGCTACTTGAACATCATGAGCCCTAGAATATGCATTTCATTTGTGGTTGCTGGCTGGGTCACTGGAGTGGTCCATGCCCTCTCACAGTTCTCTTTTGTCATAAACCTGCCTTTTTGTGGTCCCAACAAAGTAGACAGCTTTTACTGTGACTTCCCTCGAATCATACAACTCGCATGCACAGATGGAGACAAGTTTGAGTTTGTTGTTGCTGCCAACAGTGGCTTCATGAGTATGGGGACCTTCTTTCTGCTTCTCCTCTCCTATGTGTTCATTTTGGTCACAGTCTGGAAAAGGTCTTCAGGGGACTTGTCAAAGGCACTTGTCACTCTGTCAGCTCACATCACTGTGGTGGTTCTTTTTTTCACTCCATGCATGTTTCTCTACGTGTGGCCTTTCCCAAGTTCATCAGTCGACAAATACCTGTTTATCGCTGACTTTGCTATCACACCTGCCCTGAATCCTGTCATCTATACATTAAGGAACAAAGATATAAGGATAGCAATTTTAAGATTATGCAAAAGGACTTATTCTGGCAGATTTTGCTAATTTTATCATGTGTGGAATTCTGAAAGAATAAATACAACTATATATTGGAAGGTTCCACTAAGGCACATGGTACTTCATTTCGTCAATTGCATATGTCAACTACCTCACAACCTTTATCAATTTCCACAAACTATTAATTCTGTTCCCTTGAGGAGTTAGATTATATCAATGTGTTCTTCTTAAGAGAAAAAAAAAATGACTGTGGATAAATATATGTTTTGTTTTCTAGTTTTGTGATAATTTGAACACAACAAAAGATATAATGGCAGCCTATAATGTTCAAAAGTGAACTCAGAATTTGTTTGGGTAAATAAATGAATCATCACAATGAGTGGTTCTGTATTTAGGACTGCTTCTATAGCTATTCAGGTTGTATTCTCCCAAAAAGAACACAGAGTTTAAATCTGAATGTGAAGATCTTATTCAGAGGAAGCTTCAGAGTCATCATTTGGAAGTAACACATCCACAGTTTCCACTGGCTATACCAAATGGTGAATACACAGATACTGTAAAATAGAATCATTTCAATTGTAAGATAATGTATACTGAATGGTTCCTCATTTTGAAAACTCACATTATTTTCCTGCCATGTCCAATCTGTCTCCTAGAAAATTTTCTGTGTACAGTTTAGAATATCTAGAAAAGTGGTCAAGCAGATATGATGTAACTACACTAAAGTAAGATAACCAAGTAAATTGAAAGTCATCATCTAAAGCCTGTGTAACTTACAGATCTACAAGTTAAGTTTTTCCCCTTTAATCATGTGACACTAACTGATATGTGGGTGTGGAGCATTCCATCATCTGAAAAATCTCCAATTCTCTACTTTGTATGACTCCCTAGAAACTATCAACTAATGATGGTCTTTCATTCATAAGCATGAAGCAACATTTAAATGTCCAGCATAGTATTCTAAGTACCAGAGTTAGATCCCATATAAATGCAAATCATCTGACTTTTACTAGGTCATGGATTTGCATATGAGTTTGAAGTTAAAAGTTCTAGCTAGATACAGGCCAAAATAAAGTCTTCTAGATCTATAAACAAATACTATGATCCACAGAATACAAGCACGTACAAGGGAAAGGAAGGCATATTTGAGAAAAAGGTACTGAGATGGATCTTTATAATTGAAAGAATAAAAATGCTGTCAACACCACAGACAATACAACAGGAGTTTCAGGAAGGGGTTTTCATCTTAATGGGTATGATGCAGGCAATCTTTTTTTTTTTTTACTATTATTGAAATAGTTTTTTAATACAATATTTTCTGATTATATTTTCTCTTTCTTCTACTCCTCCCAGTTCCTCTTTACCTTCCCTTCCCTTCCATCCAGATCTACCCCCTTTCTGTTTCTCATTAGAAAACAAACAGGTATCTAAGGGATAATAATAAAATAATATAAAATAAAAATATGCAAATCAAATAGGAGAAAACAAAAAGAAAAGATCCAAGGAGGAGTCACAAGATTTCTGAAGAGGGAGATGAAAAGAGGCAGTCTGAATCACTAAACATCAGTCGTCTTTAATATGTGATCTATGCTCTGTGCCTACAGCCTGTAATAGCCAACATCTCGGCCTATATTTCTTCATTTTAGGTTTCGAACATACCACCTGCCTGCTTGGCTATCATTGAAACACTGCTGTTCTGAACTAAACTCCCAACAGGAAAAAAAAAAAAAAAAAGGAAATAAACATGCCTGTGTTAAAGACTCTGTAAGGCTATGGCCTTCAGAGATGACACAATGGTTAAGAAAATCTCAGTACCCAGAAACCACATTGAGTTGTTCATAGACAACTTTAACTCTAGCTTCAGGGAATCAGACCTAGGACACCTGCATACACATACCTGTATACACACACACACACACACACACACACACACACACACACACACACAGAGAGAGAGAGAGAGAGAGAGAGAGAGAGAGAGAATCTGAAAAACATATTATACAAATATTATTTACTGAGTGGAACGTCTATGCTATTGGAGAGTTAGAATGTTAGCAGTTCAGAGCCAAATTATATTTTACTGTCATTAGACCACTTATGAGCCATTCATTGGCCACCTCAGTTATTGACCTAAAATTCAACCATCTGAGTGTTAGATATTTTTTTTTTAATTTTTAATGCAATAAAAAGAAGACACAGCTTTCACCAGCACCAAAAGGAAAAGACATATCATCAGACGACCTACTAGGTGATTAATAGAGCTATTACCCATCTAATGTCCTCACTAATGTATTTTAATTAAGCCCTGGTTACATGACTCTTTTTTGTTCTGTTGTTAAAAACACTTCATAAAACTGTTATTACATTGGGACATGGTTTTAAGCAACTTGAAGCTGTGGGCCTGGGCTATGATCACTAAAATTTCACTTTAGAATAAACTATTTCTTCCTCCTGTTGAAATAGAGACGTGTTTTTAAGTATAAACACTATATACCTTATCATGCTTAGTCTATATGGAATTAGACATCACATTTAAGACACTTTCATTTTTATTGTATTAAATACAATTGGAAAACTTTCTTTGAGTTGATATGGGCTAGTAATCTCATATTATAAGCATCATTATTTAAAAGAGCAACAACATTCAAGATAAAATAAGTCATTTTACACAGGAGCTATTAACCATGTACCTAAACAAAAAAATCCTCATGTGTGACAAGCACATGAATATTTACACTGCTTTGTTACTAACAGCTATGTAATTGACGCAACTGGAATGTACTGAAGTGGGGAGTAGATAAATTTACGTGCATAAAATGGAATAAAAGCAGCACAATGAAATTGCTCATACAACAGCACGGATTAATCCCAAATGCAGAGGGAAGAAACTTCAAATCAAAAGAGAGCATATGATGTGACTGTGAAAATCCAAACCAAAGCTGTGATGGTGTAACTCCTTATATCTTTTCAGATATTTGTTACAAAAAATTATAAATATCATTTATGGCAAAACTATGGAGAAATAATTTCCTAACTTGCTGATAGGAATACAAACTTGTAAGAACGAATGTAGAAAATAATATGGAAGTTTCTCCAGCGTTACAATAAGAACTACTCGAACTGGGGAAATGGCAAAACAGAAAGTGCTTGCTACATGTGAGTGAAGACCAGATTCTCAAATCCACATAAGATCCAGGAGGGGCACGGCATGAAGGAAGCAGAGACAGTGAATTCCCAGAGCAAGCAGTCTAGTCAGACTCCCCAAAATGGTAAGATCAAGTTCAGCAAGAGACCTGACTTAAGGTCCAAGAGAGAAAGTGATTAAAAAAAAACAAAACACCATGTCAAATTTATGCCTACACAGTGGTACTCACACAAAAATGTGCACTTACATACACACACCTGTGCCCATACATATGAAAACACATTTACATACACACAGCATAGATATGGACACAAAATCTATATTATATGACTGAAAAATTATCTGTTAAAAACATTACAAAATAAAACATACATTAACAGATTTGCAGTTTCATATTCATTGAGATATATCCACACGCTGTGTCATGGAATAATCCTTTCAGTTGGTAAAGGTCTGGAGATGGCTCAGAGGTTACAAGCATTTACTACTCTTTCAACGAACCAGGCAGTGTCTACATGGTTACTCTAAAATATTCATCCATAGCCCCAGTTCACAGGATTTCATGCCCTCTTCTGACTGTTGCAGGCGCTAGCACACACATGGTGAACACACATACATGCAGACAAAACACTCACACTTAAGATGAAATAGATACCATACATGTCTTTCTGCTTCTGGGAAACCTCACTCAGGATGATCTTTTCTAGTTCCCACCATTTGCCTACAAATTTCATGATTTCCTTGTTTTTAATTGCTGAGTAGTATTCCATTGTGTAAGTGTACCACAATTTCTGTATCCATTCTTCAGCTGAGGGACATCTGGGTTGTTTCCAGATTCTGGCTATTAAAAACAAAGCCGCTATGAACATGGTTGAACAAATGTCCTTGTTGTGTACTTGCGCATATTTTAGATATGTGCCTACAAATGCTGTAGCTGGATCTTGAGGAAGAGCTATTCCTAGTTGTCTGAGAAAGCACCAGATTGATTTCCAAAGTGGTTATACAAGTTTACATTCCCACTAGCAATGGAGGAGGGTTCCCTTCTCCATATCCTCTCCAGCATGTGTTGTCACTTGAGTTTTTGATCTTAGCCATTCTTATGGGTATAAAGTGAAATCTCATGGTATATACTCACTTATAAGTGGATATTAGACATATAATACAGGATAAACATACTAAAATCTCTACACCTAAAGAAGCTAAGCAGGAAGGAGGACCTTGGGTAAGATGTTATATCCTCACTCAGAAAGGCAAATGGAATGGACATCCAAAGAGGGAGAAAACAGGGAACAGGACAGGAGCCTACCACAGAAGGACTCTTAAAGGCTCTACCCAGGAGGGTATCAAAGCAGACCCATAGCCAAACTTTGGGCAGAATGCAGAGAATCTAATGAAAGAAAAGGGAGATAGAAAGACCTGGAGTGGACAGGAGCCCCACAAGGAGAAAAAAAGAAGCAAGAAACCTGGGCCCAGAGACCCATAATCAAGGACCATGCATGGAGATAACTTGAACCCCTGCTCAGATATAGCCCATAGCAGCTCATTCTCCAAGTGGGTATCCTAGTGAGAGCAACAGTGTCTGTCTCTGACATGAGCTCAGTGGCCTGCTCTTTGATCACCTCCACTTGTAGGGGGAGGGGGCAGCCTTTCCAGGCCACAGAGGAAAATAATGCAGCCAGTCCTGAGACCTGATAGGCTAGGGTCAGAGGTAAGAGGAGGAGGACCTCCTTATCAGTGGACTATGGCAGGGGCATGGGAAAAGGGGAAAGGAGGGAGGGACTGGGAGGAGATGAGGAGGTGGCTACAACTGGGATAAAACATGAATAAATTGTAATTAATAATAATAGTAATAATAATAATAATAATAATAAATAATACAATATATTTATTAGGGCCAAACAAATGAAATAAATATTTTAAATGAATTTGGTGTATTCGATAAAATAGTATACCCTGTGATTTCAATACCCTGGAAACTGAAGCAAGACAATCATCACGTGTTTCAAGTAAATTTGTGCAACATAGTAAGTTTAATTTAACTTTAGGCTACATAG